GTAAATATATATATATGTTAAAGTAGATACTTGATTTATGTGGATTTATATTCTCAAAAGAATCAATTACTGCGACTTATTATTGTTATATATCCACCTAATTTTATTATTATTATTWTTATTATTAGACACCGTTTGGGAACCGAGATTACATTTTTTCCTGCTTATTTTCATATCAGTCGCTGATTACGTCTTTACGAACTTCGTCTCGTCCCTTCAGAATGTTATAACGTAATAATAAACATATAAGATGCATTCCAAATTCTAAATTCAGCTGCTCTTATTTTTACCACAAATAATAAATAWTWTGTTGCCTTATTTACCCAAAACTAAGCATAACATTTACCGTATTCCTAATAACGGATTTGTAAATCATGATTAAAACTTCCATTTTTTTGATTCGCGATTGTCACAGAAGTTATATACCAACATCATTGATTATTAAATTTTATGATTCATGAATTAAAAGTGTTAGGATATATGTAGATAAAAAAATCATATTTTGGTTATTTATTTAAATATATATTTTTTTACAGAAATTTAGCTAAACTTGTATTTATTTCTCTGGTCAAGTGCTTGTTGCATTGTTGATAGGTTTCCAAGAATTTGTCTGGATGTGTTGAATTTGGGTATTCTAGAATGATATATTTGATAGTCTGTTGTTATTTTTCACAGAGTTCACAGATTGGACCCTCCTCTTTTGTTATAACTTATAAGGTGCAAATGCGTTAAACAGGAGTATCCAACTCGAGATGAACTCCTTATGATAACTTCTTSATATCTGACTACAGGTATGAGGTATTTTCATACGTCTATTGATGTTTTAATTTCTTAAATCTTGTTTATATTTCTTCCCATATGTTTTTCCAAAGAACTTTTGTTAAAATTTTGATTTTGATGAGTTTGTCTTCAWATTATATTTTTTTTATCTAGGTGATACTATTGTTTTGTTGACTGTTATTTTGATTATTCTAACAATGCAATCTTATAGACATGGTACACCTAACCCATTAATTAATTGAGATATGAATGACTAAAATTGGATATTTTATAATAAATTGTTAATGATATTTAATTTAATGAATAGTAATCACTAATCA